CCAGGGCGCAGGCGGACGCTCGGACTGGGGAGGAGGAGGGAGATGTTTGTTTAGCGGGCGAAGCCTTGACTTTTCCTGGAGGGTGGGGGAGAGCTGGTTTGCTGTGCGCTCTTTTACCGGGAAGTTGGAGTAAAAGGAGAAACATTTCCAGCAGGGTGTGTTCGGAAGCAAATACCCCTTGAGACCCGATGACTCAGAGTTTTCATTTCAGGATATCCTTCTAATAATGGGAAAGTGAAGGCTTACGGATATGGAAAGTTTTCAGTTTCACCAAAATGAGATTAGTGAATCGGCGTGTCTTTTAATGTGTGAGTTTTTTCCAACGAGTGTCTAGGATTATTTAATTTGTATATACATGCAGTGTTTATTTTTCACCCCTCTGTTAAATTCTTTACTTGACGATATGCTCGGCTTACCCAGTGTTAACCTCCACTTGTTTCAGAGGGTAAACTGTTCATTAAGAAAGAAAATCTACAGTGAAAACCGTTGCAGTCCTTGTAAATTATTTTTTAAAAAGTAAATGTGCCGGGCTTGGTGGCTGACGCCGGCACCACTCTCTTAGAGTTTAAGGCCAGCTTGAAATATGTAATAGCGAGATCCTGTCTTGGGGAAAAAAAAAAAAAAAGAATTTGTTGAATCTCACTTTCCTACTTAAGATTGAGGACAAACAATTAAAAAATATATATATATCATTTTCTCTGTTACCCGATTCGTTGTAAAACTTTTGTGCTTTAAATGATACATAAATATTGTTTTTCATAAATTGCCTCTTGCCACGAAATAAAAATAGGATAATCGTTTAAAAGCATCAGTAAACATTCTTTTGTAATCCACATTTAATTTTGGAAACTAAGTTTTATGTTTTGAGTACTGTAAGGAATTTTATAAAATCAAATAAAACTGGTAGTGATTGAAAATGTATTTTGAATTCAACAGTTGCTTGAAATGAGCATAACTGTCTTTTTCTTGTTTTTGTTAGACTTGGGTACTTTTTAAAGGTAAATGCCAAATGCTTTATTTTATTTTATTTTTTAAATTTATTATTATTATTTTACTTTTGGTTTTTGAGACAGGGTCTCACTATGTAGTTGAGACTGACCTGAAACTCACTGTGTACCTCAGGCTGGTCTCGAACTCACAGCAAACCTGCCTCAGCCTCCTGAGTGCTGGGTTTACTGGCGTGCGCCACCACGCCCAGCGCCAAATGCTTTTAAAAAATAGACTCCCTCAAACGACTTTGAAGTAGTTTCTATTTACTTTGTATGGCTTTTACTAACTGTCCGTGTGTTGCCAATACTTTCTGGAAATTTACTTGGTTTTTGAGGAGAAAATCAGTTACAGGAGATAATCAGTCACATGGCTCAAACTTTAAACAGTAACAAAGGCAGAGTATAAAACCTTCTAACTTGCAGAATCTTCAGTTGTGTCCTCCAACCAGTTATATTCCCTTAGATAGGTAGTCAGCTGTTATAGGTAGCCAGCTGTTTTAAGTTGTTTAGTTACCTACTCAGGGATGTTTTATATCTATACAGGAGATGGATAAATACTATTTTCCTCCGTTTAACACAGTTGTTTACATTCTTTATATACTGCTCTACCATATGCTTTTTATGTTTAGTCACAATATTTTGGAGCTCTTTCAATAATCTATATGGAACTTTCTTGCATGTCTTTTGTTATTATTGTAATACTGCAGTGAATAACTTTTCACATATATTGTTTTTCTCTCTGCAAATACGTTTGTAGGCTAAAGACCTGAAGAGATATTCTTGGGGCTGAGAGTTTCTCAATGTACAATTTTGGTAAACACTGCTAACTTTCCATATGAACTCTCACTAGTAATGTGTGACTGTTCTCAAATTTTGCAGAGTATTGTCAGACTTGGTTTTTGCTAGTCTAGTGAGTCAGAAGTGGAATCCAATAGGTAAGAAAAAATTGTTCTACTTTGGAATAGACTTTGGCCATATTTCTCAATGGCTAATCATCAGGATTGCTCAGGATGTTTTTTATTGATGAGTTCCTACATCATCTCATGAAATCTATGTAAGCCTGGGGAACATTTCAATTAGTGCCCCAGGTTATTCTGATCTTATGATAGACCAGTTACGAAAGACTAGGACTCTAAAAGAGCGTCATTTATCACTATATATGAACCACCTGGAATCCTTATTAACCCTCAGTATATTGGAAAACGTGGTCACTCTTATCATGTGGGTCCAGTGAGTACTATTGTTTACATTTTTAGATCATTTTATGAATAATTTGCAAAAATGAAAATGAAGAGATAGTGAAAAGCAACTTTACTAGAAATTTTAAGAGTTATTTCAATAGAAGAAATCAAAATTATTTGGTAATTTCGTGGTTTGAGTATGTGTGTGAATATGTATATGTGGATATTGACACCTGAAATGGGCAACATCTTTGATTTCAACTAATGAGGCTAATACATAAACTTATCTTGTAAGGATTCTTCCAGATTTGAAATATATCTCTAATATGTTCAAATATATCTCATGTTAGTTCTTGCACTTATATTGTTAAAAAACATATACTGATTCCAGATTTCAAGTACATTTCATATAGATTTTGCAACTACTATCTGGTAATTTTTGTACTTCCCTCTTCAAAATGCATTGAAGCATTTGAAGACATTAATTGCTTATGATTTTGTAGAGTATGATCATCTTTGTTGTGTACTTAGAATTTTCCTTTATAATCAATGCACGGAATTTTTAAAACATTCTGTATTTCCATTCATTTTTGTTTATATACCTATCTTCATTTGGCCTCTTACAAACCATACCAAGTCAATTTTGGTACAGATAAAAAGATGAAAGAAGATTGTAATATCCTTTTAGTAAGACAGGATGGTCCAAGGACTTCTCTCAAAATATTGCGTGATAAAGTTCTTCCTGTTGAATGACTAACTGAAAAAAAAAATCATGTTTCGATTACTAATTAAAGATATATTGATTACTCATTGATTCCTAGGTTTGAGGAATTTCAACTAGGATATCCTTATCTGAAAACTTACAATCTGAGATTTTGCTTATATATCAGTTTTGTCATATGTAATATATATATGTATATCTACTTCATCCTTGAGTTTTTTTCTCCTTGCCACTCTGGATGAAAGGAAAAATTTCATATTTTCTACAGTGTTCAGTGAATGCTGAAAGTCTATAGAAATGTTATTTTCAAACATAATATCTTCTTGAAAGGATGCTTAGTTTGAACATTACAAACTGAATGATGTATAATGGTTTATTTCACTATTGAATCGTCATTATAGGCAGTTCTGTTTATTTGTTTTTTTTTAGTGTAGTTTGCAATATTGAGGTGAATAATGATAAAATCATTCCTAGGTGGATAAAACAGCAAACATGTTTGAAATTCAGGAAAAGTACTTTAAGCTTTTGTTTTGTGCATTTCAGTTGTTTTCTGTGCCAGTGTAAGATGTTCTTTACTATTCCTCATTTTATAATTGAAGCTAAGTTACTCTTTAAAAATAAGTAGTTTGATGTGCAACATTCATATGGGAATAATTTATGGACCTAGAATGTTCATATATCTTGCTGAAGTTAGAGTATAGCTTACATGGTAGTAAGTATTTAAAGAACAAACATGCCCCAGACTTTGCCTTGTATAAAAGTTTTGGTTGCTGTTGATTAAATGTATCATACACTAGGCTTATACTCTGGAACACAGCCTAGATTGATGGCAGAAGAGGGGGTAGGGCTTAGAGGTTTTTTTGAGTCTTGCCACTGTATTTTTTTTTTTTTTAAGATCAACATTTCTGAAGTCTTGAACTTTTATTATCCCAAAATGTTTTTAAACAGACTAAAACAAGCAAACAGCTATTTTAGCTTAATCACATAGAATTTTTTAAGAGAGGCCAGTTGTAGTGTAGTATAGAGGTTTGAGAGAAGGGTGAAGTCAATTAGTGCTATTAGGCCAGATAAGATTTTACTTAGAAAACTTTACCAGTGTGTTTTGTTCATTATTCAGACTATTGCATCTGGAGAGGAAATTAACTAGATAATTCCGAAATACAACATACTGTATTTGAGCTGTGGAGACCTGCGGTCTGTGTACATATTTAAAGACTAAGTAAGTAATTCTGATACTGCTCTGAGGAGTCTGAGGGACAAACGGAAAATATGATGCTATGGCAGAACAATTTTTTTGTTATTGCTTTTTTGTTTTCTTTTTGGATGGAAGGACGTCTTTAGATGTTTGAAGAATGCCTGACTACCACAATCACTGACAAATCTTTTAATAAAAACTAAGTTGGGGGTTATTTTATAAGTTCCAAAGATGCATTAGGTTCAAGAGCCTTTCATAACACATGAAGAATATCAAGGTTTCAAGGTATAGCTTGAGCCAAACCTGGCTTTTGGTAGGTAGGTTGAGAGCACCAATTCTTGCCAGGGGTTAGTTAGGCCAATGAAAAATAGCTGTTATGATTAGGAAGCTTTTGATCAGACTCTGGAAGATGGCATAAGCTACTGCCCACTGATCTCAGGAACAGTGAGAACTATATCTTATTGATTGCTTAGTTCAGTGATGGCAAATCTTTTAGAGCTTTCACTGATAGCCCACAGCAAAGCAATATGCGTGTGGTAGGTTCACCACCAATGGCTTAGCTGAAAGGAAGGCCTAAAAACACAATTCTTTAGTTATTACAGTAATAGTACTTGATAGGAATTGAGAGTGAGACAAAA